GAACTCATTCATTGAATAGGATTATAAAAGAAAAAAATTTTGCGAATTTATACGTTTTAATCAGTCCCCAAATTCTACAATTAATCTGTTCGTCTCTAAACTTCATTTAATCTATTTTGTTTTGGGCAAATCTCAACTAGTTTCGATTAGTGCTTACATGGAAATGTTATGCTAAGCCCGGTGGAGTATGTCAAGTCTATGGATGGTTGGTTAATTAGTCACGCATGTGGCTAGATAGGTTGATACGATAGTGAATCTTGATCGACTAAGATGAGAATGGAATCTGTATCTTATATTTTCATACAATGCCTGCTTGAACATACTATGTTGGCTCTTGCAGTGGTAAGTGTTGGGGACGTTAGATTCTCAGAATTCACTTGATAAAGGTCCTAATTTGGGATTTTATTCTTTTGTGCATGGGCTGACCGGTTGACCTTGAGATTACATTTCCCACCCGGAAAATCGTTGGCTGTCATTGGCTGGTGTGTTATTTTAGTACGTTATTTTTGTGGCTCTCACCAAGGATATTTCTATCATTTATAAATAAACTCGATTTGTGTGCTTGTGAACCTCGATTTTCTGGGTGCATGTAGAATACACTTTCTACACCATATCAAAACTTCTTCCTCTATTTAATGGCGCTTTGGGACAATCGGATTAGAGTAGCCTATCTTGTCACTGCATCACTTATCTCGCTCTCGTTTACCGACCATGGTGAACTCGTAATAGTTCCAAGCCTATCTATCAATTGACGAGCATTAAGTTAGAAGAAAACTGTGCGCACGGTCAAACGTTTTTTATAGTTTGATCGATATCTGTCTATGAAGTCGATAAATGTTAGTCGGAGCAGTTTTGGACAGATCCAGATTGCTTAGTTGAAGTTTGCGTGATTAATGTTGTAACTGATGGTTGCAGACATGAAATGACACATCTCAGAATCGATCACGATAAGGTGGTAGGATGCTTTCACTCTTTGTCTTCCCTTGGATCATTAGTTTGAAGTTTTGTACAAGTTCATTCTTTCTTGTCAAATCATATTATCTATGCCTAAATGTTTTCTACAACCACTGATTCTGTCACTTGCTACTAATCTGAAAATTTGTCTGTGTTGATATTTTCTGGCTGTTTGAACTGATGATATATGTGTGCGAAGTTTTACATTGCTAATGGATTGACTAAGATGTGTTGAAATGTTGACAGATATTGCAAACATTTATGGTTTTTTTTTCAGTGTATATTTATATTGAAATTATTCATCATATACTATCGTGAATTCGCATTGTTTGCATTAGCGCGGTGCAGTGAGCTGAAGAAATGCGACTAGAGTTCGGATTAGAGATAAGAGAGTGAGAGATATTAGGGGGGGTGTAAGAAGGATTTGATTTTGACCAATTCGGTCTCGTGTGCTGTCACGGGTATGAGGGCGGTTGTCACTTCCCGGCCGCCCACATCGTGGAAGGTTGTTTCTTGAGGGACCTGAAAAGGAAGGTAGATTAGTGTTGGCCTTAGAGACCTGGGAGCGTGACCGCAGAGCCCAGGCGACAACTGCTTGAGGCCGGTCACGCAAGGCCTTTTTATGAAGGGTTTTTTGAGTATTAGCTCCTCTCTTGAAAGCCCTTAGTGGGCACCCTTACCGCCGGAGACGGAAATCCATGAGTAGGGTGAGGTGTGACATTTTGGGGCCGACCTAGTCAAACCCCTTCCTTCCTTGTGAGAAGGCAGCATCGCTGCAGATGCTGGTTGTCCGAGGGAAACACCTTACTGCCCTCACACTCCTGCATCACAGTCAGGTGTAATACTTTGCCCTCAGACCTTGGGTAGTTGCTTTTAGTCTCATCGCTCTCCAATCGACCTGCCTGTCACGGTAGAACCTTCAAGAACATATGTTCCAGCCAGTATAGCTCGGTTGGGTCATCACACGATAGGCAAGTACGACCACCACGTCAAGGTAGCAGCTAAAGTTACGTCTCTATGCTGACGCGGTATAGCAACATGAACTAATGTACTTATGTACGAAGTTCTACGTTGTATCTGTCTGTCTGTCTATCTATCTATCTATCTGTCTATCAAATACTATCAAGTTATTTTTTATTTTTGTTTCTATTAACTTCTATTTTTAGAAAATGGCATTCCTTATGGATTCCGTGCTTACTAATATTTTCAACGACAATACTGAAATGTCTTCCATTGGTGGTGGTCGAAAATTCAATCTTAACACAGAATGTAGTAGTAGTAGTAATAATAATAATACTAATCATAATCATGATAGTCAAAATCATCGTGAATGTATGGAACCTATGTTACCGTCAACAGAGTCATTGCTTCAAACCAATCCATTATTAATAGGTCAATCTTCAGTTTACACTTATTCATCTAATAGTAATCATCAGCAACAACCACAACCACCATCACTTACACCGACGTCTAATATTCCTAATCCAATTATTATTGGTAGTTGTGAAAAGCATTCTCCTCAACTTGATTCAAATTCGCCTAGAATTTCTCAAGGTAATAATAATTCTTCCACTTCATCAACACAATTAAATCTTATCCGATGTCCATTGGCACCATGTTCATCAGCATCGGACTCTGCGGTTGCTGTTGCGGCTGCTGCTACGGCTCAACCACAATCGATCAATCGGATCGATGTGAATTTTCAACAATGTCGACAAGTATCCGATGATATACTGCATAGTAGTAGTAGTACTGGTAGTAGTAATAGTAGTAGTAGTAGTAATAGTAATAGTAGTGATCCTGCGGCATTTTATCATTACAATTCAATCATTCCGAAAAATGTCAATTCCACATTGGTCATTGTTGATGATCAATCGTCATCTTTACTACTCACTGATCATCCCAAACAACCCCAACACCCACAACCACATGACACAATATCATCAACTGCATCTGCACATACAACTAACACTTTTTGTAATGTCCTCATGAATGAAATGAATTTATTATCGTCTGGTGAAATGTCATCATTGCGTAATGCTGCTAGTCGTGGTGTACAACAACAATACAAACAGTTTATTGATGATTTGCTTTGAAAATAAAAAAAAAGAATTCAACCTGCTACAATCGTCTAATCGATTTTCAGAGTTCCACTGTCTCTATCTCTCTCTCCTTCTCGTGTTTCTTGTGTGTCTCTCTCTTAAATGTCTTCAAATAAAATTCAACACATAGTCAGTCAGTCATCTAATCTTCTAGCTCTCACTCTCTCTCTCTCTGTGTATTCTGTGTATTCTCGTTCGCGCCGTATTCTGTGATACATTATTCACACAGTGTGTTTTTTTTATCATTTCAATGAAAAATTCAATTGAAATGATTATTATTATTATTATTATTATTATTAATAATTATTATTGTCAATTGATTCATTCAGTTAATAGTTGTTTTTATCTGTTCACATGTTTGATTGGCGGCTATTCTATGAATCCTCCTTCTCCTTCTCCTCCTCCAGCTTTCTATCTGTTTTATTTTGTGATTATTATTATTATGATTATTATTATTATTACAGTGTGAAAAAGATGTTATTCTTTTAGTCTTCCAGCAGCCCATCATTATTTTTCCCTAGAAAACAACAAATAACCAATGAGAACTGGCGATTTTTCCTATATTAGGAGGCATGTTTGTGTGTTTTTTTTGTATATCTAGCGATGTTCCTATGTTTCCCCCCCCCCCAGCTGGTGCTGATGGTTGTTCTGTGTGTTCTAGCTAGCTAGCTAGCTACCGATCAGTGTTCATTCGTCTGTCTGTGATGTGCTTCGTTCGTCCGGTTATCTTTGATGGCTTTTTTCCTTTCCCTTCGCTTCATTTCATTTGATTGCAATGTGCAAACACAACGATTTTATAATACTTGAATGATGCAATGCAATCGATATATATATTTATTGTTTTTATATATTTTTGAATTGGAACTCTGTGCACATCACATTATTTTGTACTATCTAATTTTTATTATTCCTTCCATGTCCCTGCCTACCCCCACGCCGCCCGCCTGCCTTCCCGTACACGGAAATTGAATTAATTATTAGAAAGAGAGAAAATAGATACAGAATTTATTATAAATTATGATGAGATGGTTGAGTTTTTTCTTTTTACTTTTTTTATTGAAAAAAATGATTGATAATCTTCTAGTAGTATCGTGGGACAATCGAGTAAAAATCAATATGCTGTTGTTGTTGTTGTTGTTGTTAGGAATTGGGTGTTGTTAGGTAAGGATGGCAGATCAATAGATGAAGTATTGAAACTTTATCAGTTGGGATATGTGTTACGAATGCCCGACCAACGACTGCCTCGATGAGCTATGTTTTGCTGTGTAGGGGTAGGTTGAAAGAAACCTTGGGGCGGTCAAACCAAAACATGGCAGAAATCCATGAAGTCACTGACAAGTAGACTGAGTCATGTTGGTAGGGGTTGACTACGTGGATGAGGCCCGCGAGATGATAATAATGGATGGTGAGAGACATTGAATGACATGACTCAAAATCGTTTGCAATAGCGCCGGTGCATTTATTATTTGTGTTCTCTCAAATCCTAATCTTCTGGATTCTTCAACCCCTCTAGTTTTGACTTTCTAAACTTTTCGCACTGAATCATTACTTACTTACTTGCGCCTGTTACCCCCGATGGAGCATAGGCCGCCAACCAGTTTTCTCCAACCAACTCTGTCCTGGGCTTCCCTCTCTAGTTCTGTCCAATGTTTGTTCATTCTTCTCATATCTTTCTCTATTTCTCGGCGTAATGTATTCTTTGGCCTTCCTATTTTCCTTTTGCCTTGAGGGTTCCATGTGAGGGATTGTCTCGTGATGCAGTTAGGTGCTTCCCACAATGTGTCCTATTCACTGAATCATACTTCTTGAATAATATCTTCTAATACTAACCTCTCTGAATACTTCTAATACCTTTACTACTACGTCTACTACTACTATTAGATTTGAATTGACAATGAGATTTCTGTGTGCTGATGTGGTATGGCAATATGAACTGATGTATTTACGTATGAAGCTCTACGTTGTAACTGACTGGCTGACAGTCTTCTACTGATTTGGGTGCAAAACGTGGCTAGTAAGAGTGGAAGATACATACAAGTTAGACATGACAAATCGTTAGATAAAGTATTGAAACTTCATTATTTAGAGTGGTTGAGACGTGTGCTACGTATGCATAACCACCGACTGCCTCGACGAGCTATGTTTTGTGATATAGGAATCAGTTGGACGAAAGCTAGGGGCGGCCAAACCAAAACATGGCAGAAATCCATGAAGTCATCGACGAGTGGACTTAGCCATGTGGGTAATTGTCGACTACCTGGTTGGGGTCCGCGAAATGACAGTAACCGATGTTTAGAGACCTTGATTGGCTAATTTCCTATCCAATTAGCGCCTGATCATATCTTGGAGAACAGGGTAGAAGATTCTCGAACTGTTAGCTGCTTGATGATTGGTTAAATCTAATCCATTCGATCACGTGAATTTCTATCCAGAAGCTTCTCATGTAAATGCTGCTAAACAGACTAACGTTGTATCTATTTTTGGCCTTCGCCTTCGCCATCACAATTGGCTTTTATTTCCATCTAACCTTGCTATTTGGAATATAATCTTTTCCTGTTCAACCGTGTTTTTGATTTTTGAGAATTTTTTCAGTGTATTGTGGTCAGAATATATCTAAGCAAGTCATTACAACAGTAGCGTTAAGAAACCCAACGAGGAGATTCCCAAACTAGTGATCAATAGAATTCAATCAACATTAATGACCAGACAATTATAATGATACGATGTATATGTATTCTTCACTTATCACAATGTTATGGCCTATCGGTCTCGTTTTGTATATGGATGCGAAACATGACCGTTAAGAGTAGAAGATGTTCGTAGGTTACTAGTATTCGATCATAAATATATTCGAAGCATTGCTCGTATATCGTGGGACAACCGAGTAAGTAATGCTGTCGTTAGGAATTGGGTGCTAGGTAGGGATGGCTGATCAATAGATGAAGTATTGAAACTTCATCATTTGAGGTGGTTGAGATAAGTGTTACGTATGCCTAACCACCGACTGCCTCGTCGAACTATGTTTTGCAATATAGGAATCAGTTGGACGAAAGCTAGGGTTGGCCAGACCAAAACATAGCAAAAATCCATGAAATCTCTGACAAGTGGACTGAGTCATGTTGTTAGATGTCGACTACCTGGTTGTGGTCCACGAGACGAAAGTCACCAATGGTTAGAGACCTTGAATGACATGGTTCAGAATTGTTTGCAATGGCGTAGGTGCATCCACTCTTTGTGTTCTCTCTAATTCCAACCTGGATTCGTCAGCACCTCTACCTTTGTATTTGTAACCTTGTCTCACTGAATGTTAGACGATAGCATTAGGAACCTGAAAGCACTGGACTCATCATTGATCGATTCATGATTTCGAATGTGTAACTTAACAATATTCACAACTCTGTACTACAATATAACCTGTACTTACCAGTGACTATCTCTGTGAAGAATCTTCTTCGAGTTCTAGTTGACTGTCGTGACCAGTGAAGTTCAACCTGTTCAGGTGCAGACAGTAGCTGCTGAAGACAGTGTACGAGGTTGTGCAACACGGTGAATTGATCGAAGTTAGACAATAACACCGTTAGATACCGGCCCAGTGGTCCAGCGGTCATGCATTCGCGCACAAGACCAAAGGTCCTGGGTAATGTAACCTCAAAGTCACCTGATCAGCCCATGCTCGAAAACATAAAATCCAAAATTAAGACCTTTATATAACATGAGTTCTAGGGATCTAACGTCTCTCTAACAGCCTAAAAGATAGATACATTTCTGTAAATTCATTTACAATAAACAAGTAATTTTTACACTACTTATTTAAGGGTGACTGAAACGCTTGAACTGTTAGGTGATGAGAGTTAATTATATATATATATATATAAATGGTACTTTTTGTCGTTCAATCAAAATCCGAAAATAAAAACCCTTTTCTAGACTCTACTATTGATCATATTGAATACTAATTTTCATCATTTTAAATTTTGAACAATGAATTCATCAAACATTGATCAATAAAGTAAGTATGTAGTGAACGAGAACACAGGTGAGGCAACTGGATTGTATTTAATGTAAATAACAGAGTTACTCAGTAAAATAGGAAAACCATATCGTAAATCGTTCATTTGCAAAATATCAGTTCATCATATCGAACTGGACTGTTCCTGTTGCAAACAACATCAATCCATTGTCACTATTCATGTGTTTCATACAAATTCCATTGTGTTCTAACTCTTCCTTTCTTGATCTTCCCCCCCATGTTCTGCTGACAGACATTACGTTGACTGACACTCACGTTATATACTACTTATAAGTAACTCACACCACAAGTATATTGTATTTAAATGTTGTGACGAAGTAACTGCAATTTTCTAAAAACAAGCTTTTTCTTTTTATCATCATAAATGGTTATAAAAGTGAAATTTTTGCAAGATCATAACATTGAATATTGAACTCATAAAAATTGTGATTATAATTAATGTGAAAGATGCTTTTAAGGAGAAGAAATAAAGGTCAACAAATTTAAATTTTCTAATTAATTTGGGTTGTTGTAAATGGATTACTGATCATCATTCAGAAAAAAAATATCTATTCATCAAATATCTGCTTTGTTTCTTATGCTGTTATTGGACGACAGTACAAAAGCATTTTGTTCTGTTAAGCATAGAGACTTTTTGTTTACGCATGAACGTAAACATGTCATTTTGATATGGCTTGAATGCTATTAGTTGGAAAACGAGGGCGAGGATCCGGCGACACGACATGCTACTCAAATCAGATTATCCTAAACCCTATATTAAGTAAAAATAAGAAGATATGATATTAAGTAGAACGTGTATTCTACAAGCATCCAGAAAGTACGAGGTCCGAGTCCAGAAGAGAATCAGGATCCTGGACTATGGATCCGAGTCCAGGTACTAAAACGGTACAGCTAATGCGTATTTATACATTTTGGTCGAATAGGAAACAGCATTGAAGTCTGTGACATTGACAGTTAAGACAACCAATAAGCAACAACATTGGAGTATATGACATTGTGATATCTAGGACGACCATAAAATTGACTAGTAGGAATTGACCAATAATTCACTCAGGATATTGGATGAATATCCTAAGACTTTTTAGAAAAAAATATTCAATAAAACATCTTTAGAATGAAACAATTATCACTGATTCAAAAATGATGGTCACTTTCCTGTGTAAAGTGAACTGATTAAAGCTGGAAATTTGGGTCACTGGTTGAAGGAGGGGGTTTGGTGGGATATGAATTGAATTAAAGAATGATTGCGTTGTTGCACGCTGATTGG